GAGCTGTTGTTCAGCATCTTAGCTGTAGAGGGCAGTGTCACTGGCCCTCCTGTGGGATCCAAACTGGGGCCCTGCTGCTCAGAGCTGGTGTCCCAAGCCAGCTCTTAACCAACGCGCCACTCGGCCGGCCCTAGATCCTACAACTTTTAAAATATATTCTGGATAGTAGATCCTTAGCAGATACACGCAAATTCTCTCCCAGTCTGTGGGTTGTCTTTTCACTTTCTTGTTGGTGTTCTTTGACCCAGGAGTTTTTAATTTTGATGAAGCCCAATTTGTTTCTTTCATTGCTTGTACTTTGGTTTCATATTTAAGAAGCCATTCCCTAATTCAAGATCACAGAGATTTACACTTTTGTTTTCTTCTAATCATTTTAGAATGTTAGCTTTTACATTTAGATCTCTGATCTATTTTAATTAATTTTTGTATATGGTGTGAGATGGGGGAGGGTCTAAATTTATTTATTTATTTTTTAATATGTGGATATACAGTTGTCCCAGTACTATCTTTTGAAAAGATTATTCTTTCCTCCATTGCATGGTCTTGGAAGCTGTATTTTTGGCCTAAATTCATACATATACAGATATTTTCTATTCTTTTCAATATTATTGATATACCTTATTTTTAAAGTATGTTTCATAATAAAACATTCATCTATTAAATAAATATTTATTGAGAGTCTTCACTGCTAGCCTCTGGGCATACAGATGTGAGTGGTACTGACACAGTTCCTGTCCTCAAGGAGTCTACATTCTAGAGGGGGGCACAGACAATGGGTTAACAGAGAAAGGGACAAATAAAAACAGTTGCAATTGAGAGTTATAAGAGGGGAAAAAAGAGGAGGTGGAGAATAAGGATGTACTTCGGATCAGAAGGCCAGCTAAGTCTTCCAGAGGAATCAGAGACCAGCTGTGCAAAGTTTCTGACGCTGTAAATAGTATGGCCTTTTGGAAAAACTAGGGAAAAGATGGGGGCAGTGACATTGTAGAGTGAGGGCTAAAGTGGTGAGAAATTATGGCAAAGTGGTGTGTACTGAAGGGAAGACCAGCAAAGCGATAAGAGAAAGGGGAAGCAGAGAGTAGAGGAGCATTATTAGATTTGCATTTTTGGAAGACCACAAGAGTCTGCTCTGTAGATTGGGTGAATGGAGGTTGAGGACCAGCTATGGAGCTATTTTCTTAAGAACTATATGTGAAACAGGGGTATGGATCTGGGTGGCCGTGACATTAAAAGTGGGGGGACTCCAGATTGAATTTGGAGGCGTGGGGGTGAGGGGAGGGAGGCAGGGCAATGGCTGAATGGAGTCAACAATGAGTAACAGGGATGTGGTGTGAGATTGTGTGAAGTTTACTAGGAAATGCAGCTGGAAGTGAACGCAAAGGTCCCGTCAGAGAGGCCAGGAAAGGATCTGGGGACACTCACCGCAAGAGGTCGATGGCCAGAGGCCAGCAGTGGGAAGGTTCGCAGTTTAGTGAGCTCCCTGAGGAAGCTGTCCAGCCAGATTGTCAGGAACTAAATGTTCCAACCTTGGCTCTCCCAGTTCCTGGCCGGGCGATCTAGGGCAAGGAACTCGAGCTCTCTGTGCCTCAGTTTCCTGACACTTGTGTGAAGGTTGCCGACTGCAATTATTAAACCACATGAAATAAGGATTGTTCTAAGTCAGGTTAGCCTCGTTCCTCGGTAGGGAATCAGACCTCAGCTCTCCAGGACGGGAATTGGCCCAGGTTCTCCCCGCCGCACCGAGCTGTCTTGACGTCACGCAGCCCAGTAGGCCTCGCGCGCCGCCCCAAGGATCACGCGCACGCGCACGCGCGGCTCCGGGCCGTGCTCCGCGCCGTGCTTTGGCGTCGATCCGTCGGGGCGGTCGCACGGCGTCGCGCACGCCTGGGCGGGGCACAGAGCGCTTCTTCCGAGCGGCGGCTGCGACGCCCCAGCTGGGCCCAAGATGGACCTCCCGGCGCTGCTCGCAGCCCCGAACCCGCGTGGAGCCCAACATGGCGGCGGCGGTGGTCCCGGCGGACTCTGCCGAGGCCCGGGGCCGCCGCCCAGTCCGAGTCCCGGGCGCCGCCGCCTGCTGCTGCTGCGGGGTCCCGAAGATGGCGGTTCGGGGCCGCGGCGAGGGGAGGCCCTGGCGGCGACCGCGGGCCCCGGGCCGAGCCCGCCGCTTCTCGAGGACGGCGGCGACCCCTTCGTGGTACTGCTGGAAGTCCCGCGCGGCGCCGCTCTCGAGGCCCCCGAGCAGCGGGAAGCTGAGTCCGTGACCGGCGCGAGCCCCGCCGGCCGCCCCCAACAGGGCCCCAGCGGCTCGGCCGCAGCCCCGGGGCCCAGTGCGGCCCTCGCGGGCACAGTCACCATCAGCAGTCAAGACTTGCTGGTTCGCTTCGACCATGGCGTTTTCACGCTGGCCGCCGCGCCGCCGCCAGCTGGCCCGCCCGCGCCGCCGGGCGAGGAGGCCGCCAGCCCAGCAGAGGGCCGCCGCGGACCCCCGGCCCCCGGCCTCAGCGCGCCCGGCTACCGCTGCCCCGAACCGCAGTGTGCGCTCTCCTTCGCCAAGAAGCACCAGCTCAAGGTGCACCTGCTGACCCACGGCAGCAGCCAGGGCCGGCGGCCCTTCAAATGTCCCCTGGACGGCTGCGGCTGGGCCTTCACCACCTCCTACAAACTTAAGCGGCACCTGCAATCGCACGATAAGCTGCGGCCTTTCGACTGCCCGGTGGGCGGCTGCGGCAAGAAGTTCACCACCGTGTACAACCTCAAGGCGCACATGAAGGGACACGAGCAGGAGAACCTGTTCAAGTGTGAGGTGTGCGCCGAGCGCTTCCCCACGCAGGCCAAGCTCAGCTCCCACCAGCGCAGCCACTTCGAGCCCGAGCGTCCCTACAAGTGTGACTTCCCCGGTAACCGCGGGGCGGCGGGCGGTCTGCAGGGGGGCTCCCGGGGCCCCAGGTCCAAATTCAGTTGCTCAGAGTGGGTGCGTTGGCGCCCTGCCTCTGGTTGTTAGGTTGGGCAGGATTTAAACTCGGTGGGCCAAGTACGAGGGGCGGGAACGGAAGCGCTCCGGTGTTTGTGTTGTAGTTCTTCCCAGGGCATCTGAACCCTGCATTGCTGCGGAGATTAGCACAGCGAGGTAGCACAAATAATCACAGACGTCCTTCCCCCATGGTGGAGGCAACAGATCTCTCTGAAGATGCTTCTGGTTAACAAAAGAAATAATTGCACCTTCTCAGAGATTTGTTGTCAAGTCTTTATTTTCCTCAGTGTCATCACTTAGGTATACTCACTTACCAGATATTTGCAGGGCACACACTCAGTGCTGAACGAAAACAGATGAACGGTCAGATGCAAGACTTCAAAATGGTGTAGTATAGTTTTTGTGCCCATTATACTTTACTTTGGACTAAACAGTTGCGTGAAGTTCTAGAAAGCATACTCCTTTTACAGATGAAGCGACTGAAGCTGAAAAATGTGGGGAAAATCCAGTGGTGGTTCTTTGTCCAGTGATTGCTTGCACTGGTGGGAGATAAGGCTTCAACACTGTGAACTCTTCATCAGAATGGGTGGATTTAGGTGCCCTAAGAAAGACAGTGCCTCCAGGGAGGAAGAGAAGATTCCTGCATGGGATGGAGTTGGCTTGGGGAAACTAGGGTACCAAGCAGTGCAGGTAGATGTGGGTTGTGGTAAGGGTGGGGGAGGGCCAAGCGGAAGGTGAAGGATTTTCCATGGCCCCTTCATTGAAACAAAAAGGCAAGCATGCGCTTAGCATGAGCCTTGTGTGTATTGACATGTTATATACATGCATTGCTCTCCTAATGTATACGTTGTAAAATATACTTGAGGATGTGAGAGCGATCTGGCTGCTACATCTGTAACCCCATTGATCGCCAGAGTTGATTCAGCTGATCTGGCTGACTAGGCGGGTGTCCTCTTCCTCTTCCCGCTCCATGTGCGTCCATCCTGAAGCTGCGCGCTAAGTTGAAGAGGACGACCTTCCCCGATAGAGGAGAGGACTGTTCTTTGGTCAAGGGTATACAAGTAGCTGCGCTCCCCTGCTAGACCTTCCAAACAAGCTCTCAGGATTCATTTGTAGGAGAACGTAGGGTAGTCAAGCTTCCAAGACTCCAGACACATCCAAATGAGGTGCTGCATGTTGCAGCCTGCCTTCCTTAAAAACAAACAAAAAATATATATATATGTGTGTATATATATATATGTATAAAAATACATACATATATGTGTATGTGTAACTATATATGTATAGTTACACATACACACACACACACACGCACTTGAGCATAGGGACTTGGAAAGAGTGAAATGAAAAATACAGGTTCCAGTATTTTTTCCTTCATATACTCTGGGGATCTGACAGTGGCTTAGAAACATTCCCTAGTAAAATGCACAGAGAGCATGATTCTGAGAAGATCAGGAATCCAGCCTGCTTTAGGGCATGAAGTCTTCCTGAGGATTTTGAGCTGGATGATCAGTGGGGCATCAGTGTTCAAGATGGGTAGAAGCAGGAGAGGGATCAGTGAAGCCTCATGTAATGTTCCAGATAAGAGTTTCCTGCAGGCTGATCTAGGCAGTGGCAGTGGGAATGGTAAGGTGGCTGCAGGTAGGAAAGATGCAGAGGCAGAATCAAAGAGCTGGGTTGTAGATGGGGGAGGGTGGTTCTCGAGGTAGGCAAGAGATTCAGCATGCTCAGATTTACCTGACTACATACACTAAAGCCTAAAACGGGGGGGCGAGGGGGGCAGATTTATGGCAAAGAGGATGATTTTAGGGCATTTAGGGAGATTAGCATTTCCCAGTTCAGTGTTGCTCGGAAGAACAGGGTTCCTTGGGCCAGTACTTTTATGTGGTGCTGTGCAGTGTGTATCTGCTGGGTAGTTTACAGTCCCTATGGTAGCATCCACTGGTATGGAAAGCCTAAGAATTGCTCAGGTAGGCTCCTTTGGCTGGTGGCTCAACTGGGGGCTGAAGATGTTGGTGATATGAGTGAAGATGATCCTGGTAACCTCCTTTGACAGAGCAGGGAACCCTGAGGAAATGGGCAGAAGAGAAGCCAGATGACAGATATGGGGGCTGCCAGCTGCAGAGGATATTAGGGAGCACATTTATAAGTGTAGAGGTGGTGAAAAAGTCTCAGATATTACCGTGGTTTGTGGCCCTTTCAAATTCAACCCTAACAAAAATCTTGTTCTTCGGTATATAATTTATTTCATTGAGTTTTCTTGGGTCTCACACGGGCAGCGTTGACATTTGAATTCAAATGTGCAAGATCTGTGCTGCAGAGCTAGGAGAAGATGGCTGTGACTGGAGGACTTTTGCTTTGATCAGGTCCTTCACCTCTAAATCACATCAAAACAGGTAGCGCTTCTGTGCCTGTTGGCTGCCCTTAGCTACCCCTACTTTAGCCAGACGTCAGTGGTCCTAAGTTTCCAGAGGTACTTCTGAATCATTTTCTTCCTTGTCTACTTCAGTGTCAAGTGTCCTGGGTGGTGGCTAGTGTAGCTGTGTTCTGTGATTTTGCCACACCAGTGAGCAGGTTTGTGTTTTCTTTGTTCAGGCTGCGAGAAGACCTTTATCACGGTGAGTGCTCTGTTTTCCCATAACCGTGCCCACTTCAGGGAACAGGAACTCTTTTCCTGCTCCTTTCCTGGCTGCAGCAAACAATATGACAAAGCCTGTCGCCTGAAAATTCACCTGAGAAGTCATACAGGTAATGAATGAGCTAGAGAACGCAATATCATTTGGTTCCAAGATTTGTCTTTGTATTAGCTTGCATTTGTAATTATGTGGTATAACTTTCTTTTCTAAGGTGAAAGACCTTTTATTTGTGACTCTGACAGCTGTGGCTGGACCTTTACCAGCATGTCTAAACTTCTGAGGCACAAAAGGTAATCTTTGCATTTTGGTTGAATTATCACTTTTGAAAATGAATGGTTTATTTGTCAGTAGCAGAAGCCTATGGGTGAAATATCTGTAGATTTTTTTTTAAAGAAAAGCCCAGTGTAGATAATTTGGAAAATTTAGAAAGCTGTAAGAAAACCACTGAGGATCTGATCACCTAAAGTCAGTTTTTTTCTGTGTGTGCTTGTTTTTAAACTTAATTGGCACCCTTTATATACAGTTCGATATTTTTAAGAAAATTAATGTGGAATAAGCTTTTCTCATGTCAATATAGACTTTTCATGGTGATAATGATGACCTTAGAGGGCTTAGCCTGCATGCAGGTGACATTCAGCACTTTGCATGTGTATCTCATTTAATCTTCACAACAACTCTGACTGATAGTCTTATTCTCCCTGTGTTGCATTGGGACTCGAGGTTGAGTGGTTTTGTCCATGCTCACACAGCTGGGATTTGAGGGATTTAATATAAAAATGTTACTCAGGAAAAGACAGTGTTTATAAGTGGGCTTCAGAAGGTCCTTTTAGCATTGCAGTGGATTTTCTCTGCACACCTCTCATTGCCCTCTGTTGGTTGGAAAGCTTGTTTATTATTGGGATTCCTATACAGTGGAAGTAGCTTCATCAATACACTGAAACTCAGCTGTTGCTAGATTGAAGCAGCAATGATTGTTCTGTGTCTGACTCTGGGGTCTGCTAGGTCATTAGAGTGGAATTTCTAATTACAGGGTGGCTAAACTGCAAATCTGCCCATGTGGGCTAGACACACAATTAAGATTTTCCGAAATGTTCAGAAAATTGTTTTAAATGCAAAGAGTTTGTAGTTTGGTATATTTTGCAGAATTTTAAAAAAGAGTCAACCTTCCGGGTTGTGTGAGTAATCATAGTGCCTTGTTTTTCTGTTCTGGAAGGAAACACGATGATGACCGGAGGTTTACCTGCCCTGTTGAAGGCTGTGGAAAGTCATTCACGAGAGCAGAGCATCTGAAAGGCCACAGCATCACCCACCTTGGCACAAAGCCATTCGAGTGTCCTGTGGAAGGTAGATTTTAATATATTACTTTGAGCTGTAAACTAGTACCATGTCCACATTGATGTTGTAATTTTTAGTTGTTTAAAGGTAAGTTTTGCTTAAAGACAGGGTGAGTGTAAGTTGTAGCATTAGATTTGCTTGGCTAATTTGTGTTAATTGCTCTATCTTGGGAACTGTGTATTGGAAAGAAAAGACTTCAGTATGAGCCGTGGTTTGATTCTTGGCCCTGCAGTGCACTCAATTGAATCTGTGGCTCTAGTTAGTTACCTGTTTAATTTGGTAGTTGTGAGGATTAGGTGAACTTGTATGTGAAAAGTGCTGTTTTGGCATCTGGCACATCCATAGTAAATGGATGCTACTAGGGCTGCGATTGAACAGAAGCAAAGCTGGGCTGTTTTTCTAAAAAGTGTATTAGGGAGGTTTTTTTTCTTTAAAACACCAAATGCATGACTCATTCACCAAAAGTCTGCTGTGTGGCTTGGCTGTGCTGGCCCTATTCTAGCACTGAAGAGGCACTGGAGGTTGGCGGAGGCAGGTCAGGCTACAGTTGTGAATTCAAATCCTGGCTCTACCTCTCCCTAAGTTGATGACCTCAGGTAAGCTTCTCTGGACCTCAGTTTCCTTATCTGGAAAAGCTGAAATCAGTTCCTAGAAGGTAATGAATGTAACACAGATGGTATAACCAAGACACAGTGCTGTCATCAGCACTCAGTTGGGGTATGACAGGTTGATAGCTAACATGCAGGGTGCTGTGGGGGCCCAAAGGAGGTCACCTAAACTTTTCCTAGAGCATGGGGCATGGGAATGGCCAGTCAGCTGAAGAGTGAGGGATAGCTAGCCAGGGGTGGAGGTGGCAGAAAGACCAGCGTGGGGCGGTCTCCTAGAGCTGCAAGAGTAGCAAGCTTTTGAGTGTTTGGGGCAGAGGAGCGATGGGATCATACTTGAGTTTAGACTCAGTCTGATTTCCTGGGGAGATGGTCTGGTGTCTGGACTGGGCTTTGGCAGTGGAAGGGAGAGAAGGCATAGACAGAAGAGATAGGAATTAGAATTAACAGTGCTTGGTGAGGGTTTTGGAAGATGGGGGTGTGGGAGAGGCAATAGTTGGGATCAGTATCTCAGTTTAGAGGCGGACACAGGGCAGGTGGTTGGAGGAAGAGGAGTTGGGTTTGGACGTATACTACATATTAGGTACTCATGGGCTTTCCAAGTTCAGACACTCAGAGGGCAGGGGGCTGTGCTGCTGGGGCATGGTGAGTAGGTGAGCTGGAGTGAGGCAGGCAGCACACTGATAATCATGTAAGCCATGGAAATGGATGCGTTTCTCAAGAAATAGTTTACAATTGATCCTTGAACAACATGGGTTTGAACTGCGCGGCTTCACTTAACATGCAGATTTTTTTCAGTTGACCGCAGTTCAGTTGACTCATGCAGTTCAAACCCATGTTGTTCAAGGGTCAATTCTGTGGTTGGGAATCGGTGTACTCAAGAGGGATGACTAGTCATAGATGTGGATTTTTGATGTTAGGTCAGTGCTCTTAACCCCCTGCATTGTTCAAGGGTCAACTGTATATTGAAGAGAGGCAGTATCATGATTAAGAGCTTGAATGCTAGAGTCAGACTGCCTGGATTCAAATCCCAGACCTGCCACTTTAGTAGCTCTGTGACCTTGGACAAGCAGATTAAGCTCTCTGCGCCTCTTTTCCTCGTCTGAAAAGTGGTAATAAAACCTCACAGGGTTATTGTGAGGGCTTGATTAGTTAAGTTTAAGGCATATAGAAACCCCTAGAAAATGTCACCTACTGCTATTGTTATGATTGCTATTAAATAACAAAAGAAGGCCTAGGACAAAACCCTGGGGACTGCCACAAATTTAGGTAAAAAAGTAGAAAAGGGACCCTGGGAGGGACCTCAGAAGGAACGGCAAGAATGGTAGAGTTGGTGGTGCTGAGGCCAAGAGAGCAGGTTTGCGAAAGGAGGGGAGTCAGTCCTGAGTGCTGAGGCACAATGGAATGGTGAGGAATGTGTGGGGCTCCTCTGGCAGACAGGGACATTGGGTCTTTTCGCTCATGGAGCAAAGTTCAAGTTTCAGTGGAGTAGCTGGGGCAGAGCTCTGCTCTGGTACCTCAGGGGTGGGCTAAGGCAAGGCTGAAGATGCTTATGCCATTCCTCTTCTAGAAGTGTTTGAAGGAAAGACGAAAGGGCAGTTGCTGGCTACATAGGAGGGGTGTTTTGGTTTTGCTTGTGGCAACTATATCCTTGAGAACTTTTGAGTAAGTTGAGTGTTGAGGCACCGGTAGAGGCAGAAAGAGATGCAAATAATGGGCGAGAGGGGGTGATAGGGCAGTGGTTGGTTGAGAACGCTCTTCTTGGGGAGTGGCGGTGAAGGCAAAGAGCTTGATGGAGGGATTCCAGAGCCCTCTTTCGGATAGGGTGAGAGTTGATTATTCTCGAGTCTGGGTGATTATACCATTTTCTCTGCTTTTGTAGATGCTTGAAATGTTCCATAATAATAAGTTAAAAACAAGCACCGCCCTCCGTTTCCATGGTAACAGGAAGAGGAAGAGAGGCTAGGACCATTGGCAGCGAGCATATATGAGGGAGGGCAGGTGGAGGACCGAGGACAGCATATTCGATATGGGAGCTTCCCCAAGGCACGTGTGATGGTGTCTTGGGTATGTCGCAGTGTCTCACATGGAGTCGAGGTTGGTAGATTGTTTTGTGGTCACCATGTAAATGATGATGTGAGCTGAGCAGGTGTCTGTGGAGTTGGGGATTTGGAAAGAAGGTTGTTGTTGATGGGCTGCTTCACTCCTCTCCAGGGTGGATTGACTTGGTGTAAAGGTGGGTTGTTGTTTATTAATATCTTTGATTTGTAAAGAACTGGCACAAATCTCACTAGATAACGTTGCAATTAGGAGAGAAAGCTGTTAACACATGAAAAAAATGGTCACACTCCTGGTCACCAAAGGAAATACAAATTAAAATGACATATATTTTGTTCCCTGTTGAATTAACAAATATTTTTTAAAATGGAAACTCAACTGCTGGCAAGTGTGTGGCTGATATCCCCGTTGTGGTTGACCCCTGCCCTTGGGAAAGCAGTTTGATTGAAAAGTGAATTCGGTGCCTCTGCTCTGTGAGTTCCCTCTAAAAATCTGTGCTGAGGACTCCCAACTGGAAAGGGGGTTTAGGGATATGGCAGATAGAGGTACTGCCATGCACTGTATGGAGCAAAGTAGCCATCATAGACAGGGTGCTTGGGGGTGAGACCTACAGCATCTGTTCTGTCTGTTGTGTTTTCCTAATGTTCTTTTATGAGCCTGACCAGGAAACAAGTTTGAAGCTTTGTTTGAAAATGAAATAAGTTCAAAACTACTCTTAGAGGTAGCCAAAGCCCTTACTCATCTGGCCATGTCCTACCTTTATAGCCTCTTTTCCTAAAATAGTTCTACTCTTGGCCCTAGACTCCTCCACCTTGCCACCCCAAGAGGTACCATAGTGTAACAATGCTCTTTTCCACTTTGTTAGACACTGTGCAAGTACTCTGTAGGTTGGTAATGGTTTATGTAGCCCTCATAACCCCTGTGAGGTAGGTGACATCCCTACTTTACAGAAAAGAAAAAGGACACCTGAAAGGATAAATAAGGCCACTCGCTAGCAAGCGGCTGAGCTAGACTTGGGATCCAGTCAAGCTAAGCTCCAGAGCAGGCTCTGTTCACCTGGACCTGCTGCCCTTCATGGCTTCCACGCCTTAACTTGGTCTGCTGCGGATGGCCTCTACCCCTTGTTGAGGCCCAGTTGCTTCACATGATATCTGCCTCCTGAGACCTTTTCTCTGTCCTCTCAGGAGGTGTATTGCTTTCTTCTGCTTCCAGCACACTTCACAGCACTACAGCTGGTTTTATTCTGCCCTTTGTAATGATACTTGGTTGTTCACATGTCCCTACCAGGTCACAAGCTTATAGCTGCCAAGAACCCCACTTCCCCTTCTGTCCCCATGGTGCAGAGCTCCAACAGTGGCTAGTCAGGGCATGGACGAAGGTGGCTGTATTTTTTAATCTGTCTTGTCTACTCTCTGACCCGTGTGCAGGTCTGTGGTCTTACTGACTGGCTAAGCAGTTGAGTAGTTAGCAAAACAGTGCCAGCTCCAGGCTCTGCTCGTGCCCCTGACTTAGGGCCATTTGCTTGGTCCCTCTGGGCATCAGTTTCATATTGGTAAAATGAGAAGAATTGGCCTTGGTGATCTGTTGAGAAAGCTTCTAACTATATGTCCTAGGATTATGATTGTTTTTATGGTAGTAACTTAATAGAGGTGATTAGTATAAACTTTTAGCAATTGTTTAAGGCATTGTTTAACAATTTAACTTAATCTTTCCAGCATCCCTGTGTAGTGGGTGAAGAAACAGGCTCAGAGTTAACTTGTCCAAGGTTACACATCTTATACACAACTGATGTGGTACTTCAAGTCTCCTTTTAAAAACAGTTTGCTTTCAAATTTGATTTCTTGTGATGCTGCTCCAAGGGATATTAGGTGTATGTCCCTTGCCAGTGATCAAAGCGTGGACATGCATTATCTTATGATTCTGATGTGATGAGGAAATGTCAATGCTGGTTCCTTGGTAATCCACAGGTTTAACACTCTTCATTCTTTTGGTTCCAGGGTGCTGTGCCAGATTCTCTGCTCGTAGCAGTCTCTACATTCACTCCAAGAAACACCTGCAGGATGTGGCTGCTCCAAAAAGCCGTTGTCCAGTCCCCAGCTGTAACAGACTCTTCACCTCCAAGCACAGCATGAAGGCGCATGTGGTCAGGCAGCACAACCGGCACCCAGGTCTGCTTGATTTACATCCCTCTTAGGGAGCTGTAAAGATATGTAAGCTCAACGTGTGTCACAGGAGCAAAAGTGTGTTTCAGAAGTTGGCTGAGTCCTAGGTTAAGTTAATCTAGCGCAGTGAGGTCTTACCAGCCCATGGACCATGGTTACCAAGCCTTATGGCCTCTTTTGGACTCTCCGCTTCTTGCCTCTGCCTCTCTGATCCTTCTTGTCTAAATTGCTTCCCTTGAAGAACATTCAGTCTTCTACCTTGTTGGCTTTTCCTAGCATGTGTCTCCTAAATCTGTATCCCCTGGTGACCTTTGTCGGAAATTCTGAGCCTGCCCCTCCTCCATTTCCATCTTCTTCAGTTCTTTCTAAGTTCCATGGTTCTTTCTGACCACTCCCTTCTGTCTCCTCTTCTCCACCCTGCTGCTGAGGAAAGTCCTTGAAGATGAGAAGAGTTGTGTTTCAGGACGTGGATGGGAGTGGGGGCGTGAGGGCAGAGAGGGAACCACGACGGTCGTCCAGAGGTGGAGTCTGGGCACATGAGGGCCTGTTCATCTGGCTATATGATGGCATGGGACTTAGAATCCTGCATCTCAAGGCCACATGCATAGTCCTATGGGCAGGTTTGAGGGCTCTGAGTGAGTATGTGGCTGCCTGTCTCCTAGAATACTCACACCACCCTGCTTTCTGGGGTGTGGTGGGGTTGCTGCACCTGGCAGTGCCTGGGTGGTGAAATCCTAGTTAGCTGTAAAGTTACCTGAGTGTGTTGCTAACCAGGCCCTGCTCACTGCCACCTGTATGACAGGCAGCACTGGCGTTGGGGCTTAGCCACTTCCCAGCTCTGTGATCCTGGGCAGGGTACTGGTTTGTTAGCCTCCGTTTCCCCATCTTTCAAACATGGAAGATAATTTGAGTGGTTTTCGAGTGAAATGTCTTGTTAAAATGCCGAGAGTAGAGCTTATGAGTTAGTGAATGTTTGTATCCTTCCTCTGGCTTCTGATCCTATTTAGTGTGGTCACTTTTTCCCTCCTTTGGCTCTAACAGTGATTGCCATTCAGCTTTGTATTTAAAGAAGCTGCCTTTCCAGGTACTAGGTGTCTTGAGGACTCATGTGACAGGCTGTCAACTCATCTCACAGAGGCCAGTTAAGCACCGTACACTGGTGTTTCAGAGGCCCTCAGTGATCGTTTGGGTTCCTGCCTCTGTCTCTAAAATTTACCCACTCCTGCCCAGCTCTGAGCTGCAGCTCTCATGCTCTGCGCCCGGACTCTCTGCTCCTTCCCCTTTCTTAGCCTGGCTCTTTCAGAAGTCAGCAACAGCACCATTTATTCTCTGGATGTGAGAGCCTCGGGTGCTTCTGTAGTGCTTGTTTCCCAGGCTCTGCATTTATGATGTGACATTGACTTCTGTGTCATTCTTGCATGCCATATGTTAGGTGTAGATGACCAGGTGTTGACCCTGTGCTCGCCTGATGAGAAATAGGTGCTTGGGAACATCCATTTGTGGTGGACCAACTTTGCCAGGAGCTATGCCAGGCCTTGGATTGGCTGTTTGAGTTGTCCCTCACAGTGGTCCTATGCTAGGGGGGTCCTCACCACTTTGTCACTGACAAAGAAGCTGAGGCGGAAAGGAGAAGGATTTGCCTGAGGTCACATAGGCAAGGAAGGGCTGGAGCGAGGTCATGATTATAACCTTATGTTTTAGATACTCTATTAATTAATGTTTATTTAATGATTTTTGAATACCTGCCCCTTACATATAGCAGGTCTCTAGTAAATATCTATGGAATTAATAATGTGCTAAATAGGAAATTTATGATCAAATTGGTATCTATTTGCACTGAGATTATTATTATTAATCTTTTCATAGGGAGCTGAGTCCTCAACATTGTCAAGGGAATTTTTAGAAACTTTTGAAAAAGAGGCAGTTTTTCATTTTTAGTTATGCTAAAGAATCACTGGTATTTTCTTTCAGAATGTTTCATTGGTACTAAGGAATACTTAATGAAGCAATAATACGTTGATCCTATTTTTAAACTTTGAGGTAATATAATAACTAAAGATATATTCTGAATTTGGTCATTTTTTAAAATTTATTTTTGAGGGGTCTAGAATAGATTTTCATACGTTTGCATGAGAAATATAGGCACTCTGACCTGGTGTCCACAACTAGAAAGTATGAGTTTGAGATTAGCCAGCAGTTGGTGTGGGAGGAATAGAGCCGGGCAGCTGAGAGCTTCCCCTCTGGCTGGGAACTGGCGCATTCTAGAAGCTGCGGGTAGGAATTTCTTGAGAAACAATAACATCAGGTCCTTGTTTGCTCCTTTGCCCAAATCCTTTGTGTTCCTGTTGTTCTGTTTGCTTGGTGCTTGAAGAGTCCTTGGATTTGGGATGATTGGGTGCACTTGTGTATAAACCCCCAACTTGAATATTCATTGAAATTTTTAAGAATTATGTTAATGTTCATTCCCTTAAGGGTATTCTGATTTTAAATTATGTAAGTGGATAACAAATAATCAAATGCTTGAAGAGTATTAAGACCAGTAATTCAGACTGAAGGACGAGGGATCTACTAAAATTGTTTCTATTTAATCATTAAATGCTGCTTAAGAGCCAGGCACTGTGCCTGGTGATGAGGGACAAAGATGGTCAAACAGACTCTGCAACCTCAAGATGATCAGTCTGGGGGTAGGAGGGAGTATTAGAGGATGGGAATACCGTGGTCGTCGGTGGAGGGGAGCCCATCTCCAGAGTGCCTGGGGGGACCTGATCTGTTGAGTTCTCTGCAGCTCCCTAGAGCTGGGGCCCACAGGCCAATGTTTTTCTCACTGATCACCCCCAGATGACTCAAATCCGTTTCAGAGTGACAGCTAGTTGTGGAATGGGGCATAGAGTTTAATGAGACGTGAGTTGACACGAGCTAATTCCAAAAAATATCCCAGAGCCAGAGTTCAGCTTGTGTCCGACTTGTGAAGATTTGTGTGCCATGGAAAGTTTTCCAGTCTTATCAGAGGTAGCTATTATATGCAGAAAGAATATAGGGTTTGAATCCGGCATCACATGGTTTCAAGTCCTGTTACCAATAAATATGACTTTAGAAATGATGTTATTTAGACTCTCAAGTCATTTTCCTCTGTCTGGAGAAATCCCTGTCAGCTCGAGGATTTGAGACAACTTACGTAAAATGCCTGATATGTCATCACACTGCCTACATTCAGTGTGTGGCCACCTTTAATGTGCCAGGCAACAGGAGCAGGAAGAAGTTAGTTGATGTTGCCTTAATGGGTTTCTTGCTAACATCTGGAACACAAGCAAAACATCTTAGTCTTCTAAAGGCATAAAATAACTGGAATGTTCATTTCTTTTTCAGATCTCTTCCCTCAGCTAGGAGCTCCGAGTTCGCTTCCACTCAGCAGTGAACTTGGCAGCCCAGGCCAGAGCGAGCTCAACAAGATAGACCTGGCGGCGCTCTTCTCGGATGCACCTGCCGATGGCAGTCGTGTGGCAGGAGCCTCAGATGAGGCGCTGACCTCTGGAATCCTGACTATCGATGTGACTTCCGTAAGCTCCTCTCTTAG